TACACCTTGTTTCTTAAAGGAATTTGAGTTCCCAATTAGTTCAAATAACCGAGTACACAAACAGCTGTGATTTTGGGAAAAGTGGTGAAATGATTCACATCTACTGGATAACAGAGAACATTCACACATAACCAGGTCAGATCGAACACAGCTCCCGTATATCAATGGGAAAGGACAGTCTGTCTGCTCTCACAGTTAACAATACATAACATTGGGAGAAAAAATACAAGGTTTGCAAATATACTCTGATGAAAGATAAGGCAACAAAAATACTGTGTGTTAGATTTTGATTCAACCTCAAGGATGTCTGATCAGAAGAAGCACTCTAAACTAGAGTTTCTTAAGACTCTGGTTCAGTGTGTAAGCCCAAGTAAATCGTCTCAAGGTGTACCACTCTATTGTTAAATCACTTCAATTTGTATTGATGTAGCACCTTTAACAATAACACTTTCAAAGGTCTTCACACAAGTATTATCAAGTAATCTAATACAGTGACATGCTTGGCCAAAGTAGTAAACTTTAAGGAGCATTTAAGTTATGGCTGATATACAAATCAAATCCATAAACACTCCTTTGGCTCATATTTTATAATACCAATTGGTAACTAAAATCTGCCATTCTTGTGATTTAACCTTAATTGCCCTTTGTGGAATGGAGTTCTAAACTTATAAACCTTTTGGGTTGCTTCAATTTTTAGACTATACTTCCTAACTCCAGATTCTCCAAGCAGTAGTTTTTCCTCGGTCTTAAAAATGTAACAAAACTGCTCTATAATCTAAATTTGAGGAAAATTAAACATCAGGTTATGCAATCTCTCACTGAGTTTATTGTTCTGGTAAAATCAGCAGAGCACTTCATCCAAGGCCAATATACCCTTACTGAGGTGTGGTGTCCAAAACTGAACAGTTACTGCTTTACAGCTAACTTTGCCTAAGCACTGTTTGTTGATAGAGGACTGAAAAGATTGCAATCTGAAAAGCTGTATCAGTCTAAACATGTGAACAGCTGGATGGGTTTTACTAGATCAATCATATTGTTTACCAGGGTGTTATTGATTGTCAGATGGCACTGAAAGTGAAGCTACACCATCAGACAGGAGAATTTTTAGAGGGAACTAACTGGCAGAGAAACTAAACAGTTACTTTATGTTCATCCTCATGGAAAAAGATACAGAAAGTCCCCCAAAAGTACCAGGCAACACCAGATTTGTGAAACTAGGGTACTAAAAGAAATTAGGATTACATTTTCAAGTATTGCCTCTTGTACTAACTAGACTGAAAGTTGACAAATTCTCTGGACCAGACAAGCTTCATCACAGAGTGGGAGGGGACTAGAGAGACAGTGGATGCATTAACAGTTATCTTCCAAAATTCTATAAATTCTGAAAAGGTTCCTGTTGACTGGAAGGTTACAAATGTAACCCCACTATATAAAAAGGGAGAAAGAAGAACAAACAACTGTAAACTTGTTAGCTTGACATCAGTGGTACAGAAACGGTTAGAATCCATTGTAAAGGAAGTGATAAGTGGACATTTAGGAAAGAATGGTATGGTGGAAATGCAAGTTGTGAGGACGATGTGAGGCTTCGAGAGGACTTGCACAGGATAAGTGAATGTGCTCGAACTTGGCTGCTGGAATGGAATGTGAACAGGTGTAAAATTATTCAACTTTGGAATAAAAATAGACAGGCAGAGTATTTCTTAAACAGTGAGAGGTTGGGAAATGTGAGTGCCCAAAGGAATCACTGAAAGCTAGTTTGCATGTGCAACAATTAAAACTATCAGCATGCTGGAATTCACCACAAGGCCATTTGAGTACAGGAGTATTTCTGTAATGCTGCAGTTGTACAGAGCCTTGAGTGAGACCTCACTTAAAGTACTGTGTCTAGCCTTTGTTCCCGTTTATCTCAGGAAGGATGTACTTGCCATAGAAGTACAATGGAGGTTCATCAGAATAATTCCAGAGAGCTGAATTATCTTATAAGAATAGATTGAGGAAGGTGGGTTTTGAAGAAAGTGAGTGATCTCTGAAACTTACAAAACCCTTCCGGGGGAGACAGGCTGGTTACTCTAAAACCAGAGGACATAATCTCTACACGATGGGGTGGACATTTAATCCTGAGATGAGGAGGAATGTCTTTATTCGGAAGGTGGTGAATCTTTGGAATTCTTTACCCCAGCCCCATGGCCATCCCTTTAGTCTGTAGGAAATGGGAGGAGTTAAAGGAGAAATTCTTAAGGGCAAGGACGAGTTCAGTTAAGTGGATGAGGGTGTTGGGCCTGCGGGAGAGAAAGAAGCTGAGGGCTTTTAGGCCATCAGCATGAGGGATACAAATGCACAGGGACTGGATTCCATAGTGAAGATGAGGTGTTGGGGGCCAGGGCATTGGAAGTCTTAAAGGAGATGGAGGGCGTGGATGGTGTCCTGGACGTATGTGGGGAGTTCCTGGACCGGTGCGGGGAGGGAACAAAGTCAAGGTAAGGGGTTCACCTGCACACCTGTCAACTTGGTTTAACTGCATCCGCTGCTCCCGACATGGCCTCCTCTACATCGGTGAGACCAAGTGGAGTCTCAGAGACCGTTTTACAGAGCATCTGAGCTCTGTATGCGACAAAGGACAACACCTTCCAGTCACCAACCATTTTAACTCCCCCTCCTACTCCCTAGGTGACACATCCATCCTGGACCTCCTCCAGCGTCACAGTGACGCCACCCGGAAAATGGAGGAGCAGCACCTCATATTCCGCCTCGGGAGCCTACAGCCCAATGGCCTAAATGTGGATTTTACCAGTTTCAAAATCTCCCCATGCCTGGCCTCATCCCATGTCCAACTCTCCCTCTCATCCCCACTTCCTTGACTTGACACAACCTGTCCATCTTCTCTCCCATCTATCCGCCCCTCCCACCTCACTGACTAATCCCCACCACTCCCTACCTGCACTCACCTACCACCAGCCCACCC